TCCCGCCCTGTGGCCTCAAGATGGCAGTCACCTTCATTGGCAAGAGCACTGCCATCCAGGAGCTCTTCAAGCACATCTCAGAGCAGTTCACCGCCATGTTCCGTTGGAAGGCCTTCCTCCACTGGTACACCGGTGAGGGTATGGACGAGATGGAGTTCACCGAGGTGGAGAGCAACATGAATGACCTCATTTCTGAGTACCAACAGTACCAAAATGCCACCGCAGAAGAGGAGGAAGACTTCGGTGAGGAGGCTGAAGAGGAGGCTTAAGGCAGAGTATCCTTTCACCTCGGGCTTTTCAGCTCCTTCAGGCTTCTTCCTCAACTTCCCCTTTCCTCTACCTCAGAATTTGCATTTCTGCCTCTTCCCCCCCCTTTTCTCCTTGAGGGAGTTATAGAACAGTGCCTGGCACATAGCTGTTGTTGTTGTTATGTGCCGTCGAGTCGCTTGCGACTCATAACGACCCTATGTACAACAGCCCTAAACTCTGCTCTGTCCTGTGCCAATCGCACTGTCTCTGACACTCCCATCCCGATTATTCCAGTCACTGAATCAATCCACCTCATAGAGGGCCCTCCCCTCCTTCGCCGTCCCTCCACCTTCCCAAGCATGATGTCCTTCCCCGGGGACCGGTCTCTAGTAGGCTCTCAATAAATAATTGTTGTTTGTTGAATGTCTCTTCTCTTTTTCCACTCTGAGAAATCTAGATTTCTGTCATTCTGGGTAACCCTGTATTTCCTTCTGGCACCCATTGCTTTCATCTGTCCAGTTAATACTTCTGTTTTCAAGGTGTGTGTGATTCTCAAGGAAGCTGGGTCTCATGCAGATTCCATTTAGAACATGTGCTCTACACCGAGGTGGCCACCATCCTCGGTTCTAGGGACAACCCCATGGCAGGCAAAGGAAAAAGCAGCCAAGCTAATTTACAGCAGGCACAAGTCACTAGAAAGGAAGAGCTCGGGTTTTTGGTTCTAGGTTGCTTCAACCTTCATTGGTTTGTTCTCACAGGGGAGGTGTTAAACAGTATTATTTTCAATTTCCTTCCAAGCTGTTCTGAGCTCCCAGTTTGACTTTGGAGTAGTTTGCCCCACTAGGTCTTTAACTCCCTCCCACATCATAATAATAGCTCTGGCGTGGCCCAATGTGCACTGCCACCTACAGGTCTGCATTGATTCCCCAGAATGAACAGGACTTGCTTCATGTAATAACTCATTTTTTCCATTGCTATTCCCTTTTAAAAACTTATACTTTTTCATTCTTCTACACTTCAAATTTCTATTTGTGTTAAACTTGCTGCTGTTTTTCATATTGAAAAGATGACATTGCCCCAGGAGCCAAAAATAAACAGAAATTTTTTTAAAAAGGCAAGAGAGAGAGAAAAAGAGTAACAGAATTGATTTAAAAAACCCAGAACCCATTAATATGTTGCTTAAAAGAGACACACCTCTAAAATGCAAAATCAAAAGCTGGAAAAAAATATACCAAGCAAATGGTAACCTCAAAAAAGCAAGGATGGCAATACTAATCTCTGATAAAATAGATTTCAGAATGAAAACCACCATCATGGATAAGGAAGGGCATTACATGCTGATTAAAAGACACAATAGATCAAGAAGGCATAACCGTGGTCAACATTTATGTACCAACTGACAGACCTGCAAAATATATTAAAAAAACTAAAAATGTTTAACAGAATAGAAGAAAAGAAATAGTACCACAATTGTGGTAGCAAATATCAAGAACCACTGTCACCAAAGGATAGGTCAACTCAAAAGAAACTCAGTGAAAATGCAGAAGATCTAAACTATACAATCAGTAAACCTGATCTTGTGGATGTATTCAGGATACTGCACCCAACTAAAATTCAGTTTACTTTCTTCTCAAGTGCAGAGGGTACATTCTCCAGAATCAATCATATATTAGGACACAAAGCAAGCCTCAATAAATTTAATAACATTTAGATAATACTAAGCATTTTCTCAGACCACAATGTCATAAACCTAGAAATTGACCACAGGAGAGTAAAGCTTAAAAAACCACCTATGTAGAAACTAAATAACTCTCTGCTAGAACATGAGTGGGTTATAAATGAAATAAAGAATAAAATTCAAAAGTCCCTTGAAACAAATGAAAATTATAACTTATCAGAGGTTCTGGGATGCAGCTAAGGCAGTCCTCAGGGGGCGGTCCATAGTAGCAAGCATACACATAAAAAAGGGAGAAAGAAGAATCAACTATCTACCTCAACACCTTCAGCAAATACAAAAAGAACAACAATTTAACCCTACAGCCTCTAGAAGAAAAGAAACTATAAGGACAAGAGATTAAATCAATAAGATAGAAAGCAGAAAAACAACTGAAACCATCAATAAGACCAGGAAAGATTCAATAAAACTGACAAACCACTGGCAAGCTTTAGCAAAAGACAAAAAAAGAGAAGACACAGATAACTCGATTAAAAAATGATAGAGGTGACATCACAAAAGAACCAGAGTAAATTAAATTGATAATATCAGAATACCATGAAAAGCTATACCCTGATAAATTAAAAAAACCTAGAGGAAAAGAACAAATTCCTTGAAACGCATGCCCTACCCAGATGGACGATAGATATAGAACACTTGAACAGACCCATCACAAAAGAAGAAATTTAAAAGGTCATAAAAAGACTTCACCACAAGAAAACTCCTAGACCAGATGTCTTCACAGCTGAATTCTACCAAACATTCCGAGAGGATCTATCACCAAACTTTAAATTATCTCAAAACATTGAAAAAGAACAAAAACTCTCAGAGACATTCTATGAAGTAAGTATAACCCTAACACCAAAACCAGGCAAAGATGTTACCAAGAAAGAAAACTACAGACCAGTATCTCTTGGATCCTCATGCACGTTTTACTAGGTATCTATTTTTAAAATCTAAACTATGGCTGACTCTGAGAAGAATGGGAATCCCAGAACATTTGATCGTTCTAATGCGAAACTTATACTTGGACCAGGAGGCAGTCATCAGAACA